CTCCTCCTCCTCCTCCTCCTTCTCCTCCTCCTCTTCTTCTTCTTCTTCTTCTTCTTCTTCTTCTTCTTCTTCTTCCAGTTCCAAAGTCTTTATTGTTTTAGAAAAGATGATCCATTCATTCTGTGGAATAAAGAGCTATGTCCAGGGATCCATCAGTAGCTGGAAAGGACCCAGTGATCCACTTCTACTCATACATCCAGGTGTGAGCACAAGACTTATAGTCAACCAGTTCTTCAGGCTTAAACCACAGACTGATCTCCTTCTGTGCACTTTGCACTGGATCACTGCCATGAATGATGTTCCTGCCAACTTGAATGCAAAAATCCCCTTGAATGGTGCCTGGCTTTGAATCAGCTGGATTGGTCTCTCCCGGCATCATTCAGCCTGTCTTCACCACATGGAGACCCTCCCAGACCAGTATCTTACATGTTGGTACTCATGGCAGCTGGCAGAGTCTCCTTTCTTCTTCTTCTTAAAAAAAAAATCTGAATGGGTATTTTGTCTGCCTGTATGTCTATGTACCTTTTGCATGCCTGAGGAAGCCAGAAGAGGATGTTAGGTCCCTGGGATTGGAGGGATAAGTAATTATGAGCCATCCTGTGAGTGCTAGGAATTAAACCCATGTTATCCAGAAGAGCAGCCAGTGCTCTTAACCCATGATCCATCTCTCCAGGTCCTAAATTTTGTTTTTAATTATGTGTATATGGGAGGGAGAGACGTTCACATGTGGAGGCCAGAGGTGTGCGATGTCCTCCTAGACCCAGAGCTGGGGTTGTTGTTAGTTACCCTTTGAGGGTGTTAGTGCCCAAACTCCAGTCCTCTGGAAGAGCAGGACTTGATGTCGACCACTGAGCCACCTCTCCAGCCTGCTTTATTTCTTCCTGTTTGTGTCTTTCTCTCTGGTGATGGCCAGGGCTGACATGGGCTTTTTTGGGGGGTACTTAGAGCTCTCTTCCCTTTTTTATGAAGCTTCCTTTCCTGCCCTGCTGCTTGTCAGTCATACAGCCCACCGACCTCCATGCTGATTTAACTAAATCAGCATAGCTTTTCCCGCCTTTCAGTTCTTCACCATCAGGCAGCGGCTGAGATTTACAGCTTGTCCGTCCTTGGGTTTTTTCCTTTAATCACTAATAAAAGCATTCCCTTTGAATAAACTTCAGTTTTGCTCGACTCGCCAGCTTTTCTTGCCTTCAAATTCTTTAATCATCAAGGAAACCAAGCCCGTTCCTGCACCTCTAGATGGTACCAAGAAGGTGTGTTCATTTCGCTGGAATGCCTTCTTCTTCCATTAGGGGTGGCTCGGGTTCCATCTTCAAAACCTTATTTGTAGTTCATCATCCTGCCCATGAAATGTCTTCCCTGAGAGTCCTTACAGTCCTTATTGCCCCTGGAGAATGTTGTGTCTTATCTTAAAAGATGCACCTCTTCCACGTAAACCACAAACCATACTCCTGATGCACGGACCTCTGTGTGGCTCTTGCTGGACTGTCTCTGCAGCTCCCGTTTCCACTTATAACATGTACCAGGTGAAGTTGCCTGCTTCCAGAGCTAGACAATTAAAAAAAAGAAAACACCTAGGGTCTTCTAGCTGACAACTTGACTGTTCGCACAAGGCCATGCTGTGAGGAAGCCGGGCTAGCCACAGGAAGCGAGTGCAGAGAAAGTGACAGGCACCTGGCCCATCTCTAGCAGTTCTAGCCATCCCAATCCCACCAGTGGGTCCACATCATCAGATGGAAACCTGGACCTAGATGAGAAAGGAAGAGTAGCAGAGATGGTGGATTGTGGCTGGAGGGTTACTTGCACAAAAGCCTCCGGGGGGCTGAGGAACTCAGACAGGAAAGATGACTGATGACATGTTGCAAGTCTCTGATAAGGACCTCCATGTACCAAACCCACTGGCATCTACCATCTCCAGACTGTAGGGGAACTGACCTGCAAATGGACTCTTCCATCCCCACAGTTCCCCCTTTTCCATCCTATGAAGCCCCAAGTCCCTCCATGCCATAGTGCACAGTTTCATTTCTGCAGAGAGACTGCGGCCTTCATTTGTTCTGATTAAAGAACAATTCTGCTTCTAGAAATGCCTGTCTGCTCTCTTTTTATTTCCACATCGCCTCCATCAATCCTGATCTAAAAGCTTCATGAATAACGAAAGATGATTTTTTTTCCCTCATTTGAAAATCTTTTTGGAAGAAATTATTATTTCTTGACTCTAAGGGATGTAAGTATTGTTGGACCTCACTTCCTGGGAGCACATCTACCTTGGGGCCCAAGAATACCAGTTTGCAGCTGTCTGCTGAAGCAGGTGAAATGTGGCCCATTAGCATCTACTGCTCTTTTAACTAGTCTGGTACAGCCCTTTTAATTTTTTTCCCCCGAGACAGGGTCTCTCTGTATCACCCTGGCTGTCCTGGAACTCTCCCTGTAAACCAGGATGACTACAGAAAGTTTGAGGTCATCCTGGTCTCGAGTTGCCTCTGCCTCCCGATGCTGGGATTAAAGGTGTGTGCCACCACTGCCTGGCTTTAATTTTCTGTACATTGGTCTTTTCCTGTGACCTGAACACCTAGGTGGCCCAGTTAAACATTCCCCTGTGTGTGTGTGTGTGTGTGCATGCACACCTAGGTGGCCCAGTTAAACATTCCCCTTTTGTGTTGGTTATTCATTCTTACTCCAGTATAAGTAACCCAGCTTGCAGGTAAGCAAACCCCACAGTCCTGACCTGGGTTCAGGAGCTCATGGTTGGCATTTACTAAAGCCAGCGTTTTCTAGAAGGGGATCATCAGGATCCAGCTGGATGGCTTTGTCTTGTTTACCTGTGTCCTGTGCTGGGGCCCAAGGGCTTGGGGCGTTAACTCTGCCAACTGGTGCAGTTATTCCAGTGTAGAATTGTAGGGTCATTGAGGGTCTCTTGTCCCTATGCCAGACCAGCCCATCACAAGGTCATGGCTTCTTCCCATGAAGGTTTTTTCAGTTCCCCCATGATTCCTCCCACATTTTCTCCTTTAAGACCTATTATGGTCTAAACTCCTTGTTCCTCTGGGGCAGCTCCCTCCTAGGCCCCTTTTGTGGTGAAGTCCCTGTAGACCAGTATTTAAGGTTTCCCCACAATCATTCTTTTGTCCTCTGACCTCTTTCTTGCCCGTAGGCTGTCACTAGCTTGGGCCATCTCTGAGAAGAATGACAGTTTTCCTCTGTGGGTGGACCTATTACAACCTGATGGGATCCAAGGGATGAGCTGGCCTAGTCTCAAGAAGGATGGAGATAAGGCAGAACCCCTATGGGGAGCAGTTTGCTATATTGATGGGTGTCCAGGAATTGGAGTTGCCCTGGAACAAAGTTGCTCTCCAGACTAATTTATGTGACAGGGTACTAGCTCCAGTGTGCATCCACGCACTTGGGGAGGACATCGGGAGGCAGGGTAGGAGCTGAACCATTGTTCCCATTCTGAAGTATTTTTGAAATGGTCAATTTCAGAGGCTAGCCTGGGTCTGGGACTCTCGTGGTTGACTCCTAGCTGGGGTCCACAGCAGCCTTGGTGTGGGTGCAGTGTACCCTACAACCACTGGTGACACCTGCAGCTTTAAGAGCTGAGGGAGTGGTGAGGATTGAGCAATTTTTTTTTTATGTGCAGTGTCAGCCAAGTCTTCCGAGAACTGCTGGAGGCAGGCATGTCCGTACTCTTGGAAGTCCTGAGTCCTTTGAGGGCAGAGGAGGTGGGCAGCCCATAAAAGGAGAGTCACTGCATTTACAGTGTGTGCAGTGCACCCTAGACAGCACAAGAGGCAGACTTTCTGGCCAAGGGAGGCTGTTACTTGGCAGTGCTTGGCCAGTGTTGTTATAAAGGTTCTGTTCACTCTCACAACTCAGCCTGATGATGGGGGGTGGTACCCTGTGTGCATCGTTCACGCTAATCTTCTGTGCAGGTAGGAGAAGCTTCCGCCCACACTGAAGAGTTCACACCATAAACAGCACATAGTGGTACCCTTTGCTGGGTTGAAGGTCAGGAAAGTCCACTTCTAGATGTTCGGATGGGTAGGACCCTTCTTTTTGTGCCAGTGTGGGAACCTCGGGTCCCTCCCTGGGATTGTTCCGAGCACATTGTAGACATGCTGTGCTGGTTTGTTGGGTCAGTGTCGGCACCTCAGAACTGCCGAAATATCTTTGCAGCGATTCTTACAGGGCAGTTTTTCTAGATGGGTTGCTTTGTGAGCTTGTTGGACTAGACTGGGAACTGTCATCTCTAGATTTATTATTTTCCTATATGTAGTAATCAGACAGTCCTCCTGATTTTCTGAAGCCCCTTTCTCTGTCTCTCTCTGTGCCCTGACTTATCTGAGGAGAGATCTGGGAGCACCTGAGTGTAAACATACCTTCTGGAGGATAATGGAGGGAACTGCAGGTCTGTGTCTTCACAGAGGGCACCCCATTTGGCTGTCTGGTCTGCCAGTTGGTTTTCCCAACTCACTTGACCTTGACTCTTTGGGCGAGTCTGGCAGTGTACCGTGACCACAGCCGGCAGCCCCGACAGCTGGAGGATTTGGCTTCTACTTTAATGTCTTTGTCCTCTAAGGTAAGCACTCTCTTTCTCGACATATTTTTGTTTTGAGTCTCTTGACATGAGGAGCGATTCCCCATGTTGTAGGCTTCTGTTCCCACCAGTGAACGGTTGCGTTCCTATACTGGGTCTTGTCACTTAAGACCGCCTGCCCATGAGTAAAAAATCTCTTTTATAATTTATCCACAACTATGAATGGGTTTTCCCTCCTCTTCAGGCATGTATGTGGCTGAATAACATATCTGTTATCTTCTTGGATGAGGGGAGGCCCTGGCATTTCCCTTAGTGGACACACTGGAAAGGCCTCATTCCTGGAATGTAGTCAAAGAGTCTGGTGAGCTGGCTACCTGTGGAAGCTGGTGAGCACTGCACAGCACAGATGCCTTTGAAATGACAGCATCATGTGGTCCTGTGACTGCCTGGGCATACAGTGTGGTGCTGGCAATTGGATCCTGTAGAAGGCTAAATCATGGGCAAAATTTTATTCTCTGGGACACTAATGGGTATACGTCTTTGTTGTCTTCAGGCTTAACAGTCTTGACCAGACCAAGTGGGGACTCACATCAAGACTGTGCAGACCCCATGAGGAGAAGAGTTCCCTAGTCAGGAGATGGGAGAGTTTATATGTGCCTCACGCCATGAGGTGTGGTAGGGTAGAGTGGAGAAGACCACTTCTTCCTCAAGCAGATGGCCTGGCTAGCTGGCAGCCTCACAAACATCTAGGATGTCTTACCTTAGGGCCACCAACATAACCCCATGCATGCTCTGTCACCTCCTGATATGGAAGCTGAATGCTCATTCAGGTGAAAAGCCCTCAGAGGGTTGGGCCCTATCAGATCCTGTATCCCCAGAACCATGGGACCATTGCACGCATTCACACACTCATTCACCACTCATTCAGAAGTTATACATTTGCATTTTAAATTCCTAGTCTATTTCTCTGGAGACCAGTACCAGTGCCTCAGTGTCCCTTGGAGGCTTTTCCTTGGAGAGCAGTGTCACCTCCATGTCTCACTGAGGCTTCAAATGCAATCACTTCCCTGGGAATCGGGCTCACCAACTCTTCCCCAGGGGTCCTTACCTAGTCTGGATGTCTAGCCAAATCTCATCTTCTTCTACTTGGAGACTCCAGTCCTGAGTCTCACAGTCCCCTTGGCCACTGGAAGGGAACCCCAGAATTCCAGGAAGAGCGCAGGCTTCCTGGGTTCCAGGAACCCCCAGTGGGCTGAGAGGCCCAGGAGCATCAGTCTCTCCAGACTCACTGGAGTTTTGGTGAGGGGGAATCGTGTTGAGCGGGAAAAGGGGTGCTCCAGAAATACTGAAGGAATTATTCTGGAAGAAGCACTGACCCACACCAGTGAGATTGTGAACTGGCTGGTTGTGTGTCAACTTGACACAAGCTAGAGTCATCAGAGGAAGGAGCCTCAACTGAGGAAATACCTCCATGAGATTCAGCTGCTAAGGCATTTTCTCAATTAGTGATCAGTGGGGGAGGGTCCAGCCCATTGTGGGTGGGGCCATCCCTGGACTGGTGGTTCTAGAAGAAAGCAGGCTGAGCAAGCCATGGGGAGCAAGCCAGTAAGCAGCACCCCTTCATGGCCTCTGCATCAGCCTCTGCCTCCAGGATCCTTGTCCTGACTTCCTTCAATGTGAACAGCAATATGGAAGCGTAAGCCAAATAAACCCTGTCCTACCTAACTTGCTTTGTGGTCATGGCTTTGGTCACAGCAATAGAAAACCTAAGGGGGCGTGGAAGAGAGGAGATGTCACTGGTAGAACGGAGCCAGGACAGCTCCTGGGAGGCCTCGGTTCCAGGTCCAGTCTGCATTCTCAGTTTATACTCTAAAACTACAAGGTGGGGCAGGCAGGCGAGCGAGATTTCTGTGGCAGACAGCAGGTTGTTAAGGCAACAATCCATTGTTCCACCTATTTCTCCAGGTCATTCTGTTCCAGGTAGCAAGTGAAGTCATTCTTGGCAAACAGGCAGTCCAAGCAGTGCTCGAAGTCACTAAATCAATCAATAAATCAGCATCCAATCAATAAATCAGCATCCAATAATTGGTCTTTTTTTCCCACCTTATTCTACTTCGATAATGCTGTTTGGGAAGGTTGTGAAACAGTCATGCCATAGAGTCCCACTGAAGGGAATGGATGGGGAAGGAGGGGCTTTGAGGCTAACATCCACAAAAGGCTTCCTGTCCTGTGTCTGCTTCTTGGTCCTCCAAGATGTGAGCAAGCAGCCTCACACTCCTGCTGCCCTGTCTTCCTCGGGCTGCTTCCCCGCCATGAGGGCCCCAGCTATGGATCCCTGAGCCAAAATAAATCCTTCCTCCCCATCATGCTTCCTGTCAGGTATGGGTCACAGCAACAAGAAAAGTAACAAATGCAGGTAGACATGTGTGGTGGTTTGAAGAAAATGACCCACAAAGGGAGTGGCACTTTGTAGATGAGTTTCTAAATGGTCTTATTAAATAAAAAACATGGAGCCAGATATATAGGGGTTAAAGCCTGAGAGAGATCAGAGGAATAGGAACAGTCACAGCTAACCTTACCTCACCAATTCCGCAGCTTCCAAATGTGAGATACTTCCTCTCTACTCACACCTATATGCCTTGCTGTTCTGCCATCTGATTTGCTCTCTCTATTCAGCTACATCACTTCCTCTTCCTGCCCAGCTCTGTCACTTCCGGTCTGTCTGTACAGACCTCCAGACCTCCATGGTTAACTAGTGTTGGAATTTAAGGCATGTGCCACCACACCTGGCTCTGTTCCAAGTGTGGCCTTGAACTCACAGAGATCCAGACAGATCCCTGCCTGCCAAGTGATAGGATTAAAGGCATGTGTTACTGTTGCCTGACTTCTTTGTTTACTTATAAATGGCTGTTTTGTCCTCTGATCTCCAGGCAAGCTTTATTTATTAAAGCACAAGTAAAATATCACCATGTTTTGGCACAAATAAAATATCACCACAGCACTTTTAGGCGGTGTGGCTTGTTGGAGTAGGTTTGGCCTTTTTGAAGGAAATGTGTCACTGTAGAGGTGAGCTTTGAAGTCTCCTATGCTCAAGACACCACCCAGTGTCACAGTCTACTTCCTTTTGCCTGCATCTCAACATGTAGCAGCTCCTTCTCCAGCATCATGTCTGCCTGCACACTGCCATGCTCTCTGCCATGATGATAATGGACTGGACCTCTGAAACTGTACACTGCCTCCTTAATAAAGTGTTTTCTTTTATGAGAATTGCTGTGGTCATGGTATATCTTCAGAGCAAAAGGAACCCTAACTAAGACAACATGTAATCACTTTGTTATTGATAAATAAGTGCTCGTAATTGAGACGGTAAAATGTCTTTGTGCTGGTGTTTATGAAATACAACACAATGAAAGGGAAAGATACTTACAGTCTACATACTGAACTTATTTTTCCATTCATACCCACATGATGGTGTGATAAGAAATGTAGTCCTGATTCCTGCCCATTCCAGAGCAGTTATGGCTTGACGTTTTAACAACAAAAATGAGTGACATAGACCCCACTTTTAATGTGTAGCCTGGCTGCTCTAGAATTCATAGAGATCTGCCTGCCTCTGCCTCCCAAGGGCTGGGATTAAAGATGTGGGCCACTACATCCTGTTAAATGCTGCTTTTAACACCTCAGGATTTAATGTCTTTATATCAAGCTTTAAGACTAATCACATTTTATTCTTTTTTTTTTTTGTCTTGTTTTGTTTTTGTTTTTTTGAGACATGGCTTCCCTGTGTAGTTTTGGTGCCTTTCCTGAATCTCTCTCTGTAGACCAGGCTGGCCTCAAACTCACAGAGATCAGCCTGGCTCTGCCTCCCGAGTGCTGGGATTAAAGGCGTGCGCCACCACCACCCAGCCACATTTTATTCTTTCTACTGAAGTTTCCATTCCTTTTTTTTTTTATATCTCAAATATTTAGATTTCTCTGAAAATATAAACAATTGTAAAATCATCCTATAGGAAGCAAGAAGTGCAGCTCAATGATAGAACATGTGCCAGGCATGCACAAGGTGTTGGGGTCTATCCCAGCACAAGAAACAGTAATAAAAATTAAAAAGTTTAAAGTCCAGTGATGAGACTGAAGATGGTAGCTGCATAGGATGGGAAGGACTCATTCTGTGTTTCCACTGCCTACCTTAAGCTGATTATTAAAACACACTGCAGCTGAAATCTGGAAATAGACAAAAGGAGGAAAATAATAGAAATTCTCAAAAGAAAACTCATATTCCTGTGGTACAAATTCTGACAGTGTTAAGATAATGTCCTGGTTAGTTTTTCTGTCAACCTGACACAGGCTAGAGTCATGTAGGAAGAGAGAACCTCAATTGAGGAAATGCCCCTACCAGATTAGTCTGTAAATTAACAGTTGGTGTGGATAGGCCCAGCCCGCTGGGGGTGGTGCCGTCCCTGGATCCATGGTCTTAGATAGTATAAGAAAACAAACTGAAAACTGGTATGCAACCAGAAGCTCTACCTTACTGACCAGCATTCATGGGCCTGGAAGGTCCTCTGCATGCTACCAGAGGAGAAGAAAAGTAATCAGTATCACCCAACCATAAACCCTGTGACCTACAACAGTGACCTGCCTACATGATTTGCTCCTGCATTAGTGGCACAGAAGTTATAGGAATAACCAACCACCTTTTGTTGTTGTTGAAGTTAAGACTCACTCCATGGCACAGAACCCATACCTGACACTTTGAAAGTGGCCAAGACCCTGAGACTGGACAAGTCTTTGGCCCTAGAGGAAAACTGCTACTATTACTCTGCTAAAGGAATATAGCAATAAAATTACTCCTAAGGACATACGGCTACACCCATAGGTCAGAACACTGCTCAACCCCCATCACAGAAGTTTCTTCTTGCAGTTGGTGGTATTTAACACAGAGGTCTACTACAGGACAATGTGCAGAGAGTGAGACACTTCAGAGAACTCAGTCCTAAGTGGGATGCCTTTATCAAACTCAAGGTCAAACTCTATCTATGCAGAGGAAGAGGCAGAAAGATTGCCACAACCAAAGGCGGTGAGGGACTCCAAGGAAACAACGTCTTCCAGAAACAATGGGGCCGATACAAACATGAACTTACAGAGACTCTTGATGATGTGCGCAAGACCTTCATGAATTCAGACCAGACCAGACAAAATCTGAGGACAGAGAAGGGGAAGTGCATACAACATCCCACACCTAACAAAGAAGCTGTTTGCAGTTGGTATCTATGCAGATAGGAACACTTATTTTTCTCTGAGGGATCGTCACCGGGTATATCACTCACATTCTAGGGGAGGCCCCATGCCCAGAGTAGTTGGCCAACACAAATGGAATCTATGTTTCTGGATTTTCTTTTTGTTTTGTTTTGTTTTTATCTTAATGGATTTTTGTTTGTTTGTTGCTGTTTATTTTGATTTTTGTTTTTGAGAGACAGAGAAAGAATATGAAGTTGGGTGAGTAAGGAGGTGGGGAGGATCTGGGAGACGCTGAGGGAGGAAAAAGAATATGATCAAAATATAGTATAAGGAAAGGAAAATGGACTGGGTGGGCAAGTTACGAGGAGCAAGCCAGTAAGCAGCACTCTTCATGGCTTCTGCTTCCACCCCCCCACCCCCTACCCCCACACCCTTCATGTTTCTGACCTGAGTGTCTGCCCTGGATTCCCTTAGTGATGGGCAGAAGTGAAATAAACCCTTGTCCTCTCCAGGTGGCTTTGGGTTGTGGTGTTTCATGACAGCGGTAGAAACCTAAGACGACGAATGTCGATCAGTACCTGGGGACTTGCTCAGCACGTGCAAAGTCCCAGGTTTGGTCCCTGACGCAACAGAAGATAAGGAAAACAAGTGTCTGGCCATTTGAGGTTGGGTTTTGAAATAACTCACTTGCAGTTGGAAAAGAATCTTCAAGCTCCCAAAGAAGTGTCCATCTGTGGTTTCAGATTCTGAACGTTGAACGGGAACTGCGGCTGTGACTCTGGAAAAGGAAGAATATGGTTTGGCTTTGTGTCCCCAGTGTGTTACTCATGCTCATGCTCTTCTGAGGCACTTTCACAGACTTCAAGGAAATGCTGTCCTGACAACTACCTCTGAATTAAAAATCACATCCACGCCACATGGAGATTGCGTTGGAGAGTTAAAAAGGATTCTGTAGTGTGAATGTGCACTTCCATCCCCCAGGCACAGTTTTCAACTCTTCACACTGGGGGTTTTCAGTCCTGTAAGTCTCACCTCTGATTTCATACCAAGTTCTTTCCTTAAGGAGATAAATGGGGGTGCTTTCCTTTTATGAGGTAATAACTACAGCCTCTGCTAAATAAACTTAGTGGCTGGGGTATTTATAGGAAATAAACTCAAAGCTAAAAATCTAAAGGATCTTTTAGCCTAGGATATGAATTTAATTGAGTCTCTCCAGGAGCACCCTCAGGTCAACTCCATTATAATGAACTGGCATCTCACTCCTGTCGCCCTTCCCCTCAATATCCTCTTTTCTGGCTCTCTCCACACTTCTGGAAGATGGTTCTAAGAATTCTGTAATGAATTTCTCATTTGCCCCATAACAAATGCTTTGCTCTTCAATTGGCAATCCTTAATCCTCTATAGAACTCACCACTTAGAAGCTCATCACACATGGCATTCAAAAATTAAAAGGAATGGGCTTAGCCTGCTCCTTCCTCGGCTACCAAGAGTGTGTGGAAAACATTTACTAGAAACCAGGATTTAAATCCATTGAAAACTAGAGTTCCACAATAAGGGAAGAAGTGTGCAATCTTAAAATAACCCTGAGCTCATTCCTTTGGGGAAATTGCAGTTTGGCTGTTCACTACATTGGGTTATGCCACTTCTGAAATACAGCTTGCTACCTTTCAAAATAAAATGGGGTCCTCTGTGAAGAAAATGGAGTCCCTGTGTATTCAATGCTACATCGTGAAAAAAAGCTGAACAGATTTTTTTTTTTGGCCACATTTGCAAAATGTGTTTGGTGTGTGTGTGTGTGTGTGTGTGTGTGTGTGTGAACTAGGTCACAAGAATACTTACAGGATTTATTTCAGAAAGTCACTGGGACACTGCAAAAAGACAAGGAAGTGTTTTCTAGTGGAGCTGTAGCCTTTCAGATTTGCAGGGCTGTCGTTCATGTCATACACAGGCTGTTCTCAGCATGAGGAACGGCAGTGACCAGAAGAGACTCTTTGACAAGGGTTGTTGGCTCTCCAGAAGATGCTGCGTTGGCCTCACTACGGATCTCATTTAATACAATAATCTATAATTGATTCTAGTGTGTTACTGGGATTGGGTATTTCAGTTTGTTTTGTTAATATTCCCACCATTCCTCAGACTGGGAATTTAAAGACTAAAAACTATTCTATGGCAAAATTTCACAGAAACTCATTTATTTATTATCCTAATCTAATACAGATTGTAGTTGTTGCTTTGAATGAATTCACATCTCATAACTGAGTCTGTCAATGCCCATCCATACCTCATGGGACCAACTGGTAGGGCACCTGTAACTTGACTGGATGATTCCCAAACATACCAAGGGCTTCCTTCCTGAAGCACCCATATGTCCTTTTCAGGCCAAGGGTGTTGCAAGCCGGAAGTTCCAGTATGTGAGCATCCTTGTGAACAACAGTCAGCAGGTAAGTAAGTACATGGCTGCCTGGCTCCTAGCAGGTCAGTCCTGAGGTGTGTTCTACACAATCACTAACAGAGATCCCAGACACCTGAACTCCACAGTAATGAATTCACTAATTCACGCATTATTAGCAAATCCTTCTGTCTACTGCCTCCCAATCCCACTGGCTTTCCCAGGATCTGCTCCTAGAAGAGATTAAATATATGAAAAACCTTGTCTCTAGATTGCTTTTGGCGGGGTAGGGAGATCTAAACTAAGATACTTTAAAGCATTGGCAATTTTTCTTAGTAGAGTTTTGGGTTTGTTTGTTTGGGGGGGGGGCTTTTGTTTATTTGTTTGTTTTTGGTCTTTTTATGTTTTATGTCAAGTCTGGAAGTTAAAATCATCAATCAGGTCTGGATTTCATGCCTGGCTTCCTGGCTAATTAGCTGAGAACTTGGATTGAGTGATTTAACTTTTCTGAGTTTCAGTCTTCTATAAAGCAGGAGTTGAAACAACACCTATTGAAGTTGCGTCTGGTATGTTAGATAATACACTTGACACACTGCCCAATTCAGTGTCCTGTTCTTACTAGAGAGAATTGTCTAATAGGAAACAATGCCAGCTGCGGTTACGTGGTTTCATAGCTCTCTGTTATAAAAGACTTTGTTACTGTGGCCAAATTCATCTAACGTAATCAGGCTTCATACAGGCTCACGGGGTGGGAGGGGAAGCAGCCAGTTACTGAGAACAACAGACCAAGAAAGACAGAAGAAACTTCCTGTCACTGTCAACTTTCTGATGTTTGCCATTCACTGTCTCCATGGTACCTTTCCATAGGTGCAGCAGAAGCCCCTTACGAAGCCTCCTCTGGGCCACTCAAGCTACGTGGGCTTTCCTTTTCTTCAATGGTCTAGCCACAGGGCTCTCTTTAACACATGACCCCATGCAAGACCCTGGTGGTGGCTCAGGTAAAGTCAGATATGTGGTCAAGTAGTATTCTAGGTATTTTATTAGCATAAAAATAGGCAGACCTTGAACAAAGGTTTTACCCTTACCTAATTATCTAAAATCTTAACTGAAAATAAAAAGACCAACTTTACCTAGAAGGAGAAGGAACTCTGCCATCAGGCTGCCTGTGGACTTGAACTACAGCTCTCCTCTGGCCTCCAGTCCCCCAGGCTACTCTACAATTTAAAAGCCCATTTTGTAAATCTCTTTCTCCCTTCTCCATACACATATGCATACACACACATGCTATTGATTCTTTCTTAGCAGAAATAGGACTCGTAAGGTCATCATAAAATTATATATATACATATATATACACATATATATGCATACATGTATCCAAAATTCAGTATTAAGAAATGGAACAATAAGTCAGACGGTGGTGGCGCACGCCTTTAATCCCAGCACTCGGAGGGCAGAGGCAGTCAGATCTCTGAGTTCAAGGGCAGCCTGGTCTACAGAGTGAGGACAACCAGGGCTACATAAAACAAAACAAAGAAACAAAACAAAAAACAAAAACAAAAAACAAACAAAGAAATAATAGAAGAAGAAGAAGAAGGAGAAGAAGAAGAAGAAGAAGAAGAAGAAGAAGAAGAAGAAGAAGAAGAAGAAGAAGAAGAAGAAGAAGAAGAAAAACAATCTATGGATGGCATTTATTTGGACCGGAGAGATGGCTCATGGTTAGGAGCATTTTCTACTCTTTCAAAGGACTCAGGTTTTATTCCCAGCACCACGTGGTAGCTCATAGCCATCTGTAACTCTGGTTCCAGAAGATTCAATCAATGTCCTCTCCTGACTCCTCTGGCACCAGGAACACACGTGGTTCACAGACATATGCAGGTAAACCAACCACACACATAGCATGAAAATATTTTGAAAAGAACATGTTTACTGATAGTTCAAGTTATTTTAACTTCACAAATACAAGTATATAAGACTAAATTCACAAAGCAATATAAAAATTATTTTTTTCTTCTGAACTATATTTCAGGATCAGGAAAGCGAATCCATCCCTACCTCCCCAGCCCTTCCATCTTAGTTTTCTGTTGTTTTGTTTTTAATAACAGCATAAGGCCAATTTATTCTGGCCATATACTTTTAGGAATGAGACCATCCATGAGACGTTGACCTGCCGGAGGCCATACCATTAAAAAATGTCTCCACTTCCCTCCAAAGCCACCAACTGTCAATAGCCCCTCTACTTGGAGCAGGGCTCATAATAGAACATTGACTGGCTTGATCTTATGCAGATCTTGTTCAGCCAACAACGGCTGTGAGTTCGTGAGTGCAGTGGATGTATCATGTGCAGAAGATACTATTTCTTTCTTTTTTTTTTTCTTTTTTTTTTTGGTTTTTCG